ACTGGGCAGGGGAGTATTTTTATTGTATAATTATAAGTGTATAGGGCGAAAATATATGTACTTGTATGTGTATATACAATTTTCTCACGCTTTATACAAACAGAAACGCAATTTATACATTTCGTTTCTGTTTGTATAAGTGAGAAAGACGAGGATGGCGAGCGAAATTTGGGAGAGTGGCGAGCGAGATCTGGAAGAGGGGAGAGAGGGGAACAAAGATATATATTTATACAATTTTCTCTGCTTTATACAATTAGAAATAATTTTTATACACTTGTGTTTGTATAAAAAGTGACGAAGCGAGCGAGAGAATGGAGCAGAGTGGCGAGCGAGATATTTGCGAGAGAAACGCCTGACATTTTTTTTTGCAAACGTTTACTATAAAGCACAATTAAATCAAACCCTAGCTACTCCATTTATTTTAGGTTATTAATTTGCTATTATATACAATTTTCCCTTATTAGAACCCAATGGGCCAGCCAGATGATTCAATAATGGGCCCTTCACCTAAAATAAAGAGAAAGGGTGATTTGCAAGAATAACCATTTTACATCATAATGAGTGTCTTGAACTTTTAGCTACATTTAACGAAATCTTAAAAACTAAACCTATGTGGACCATAGGGTATAAATCAGTGATGACAATTCTGGCAAATTTCAAGATAGCTCATACATAATTCTCCGTCCATTAATCGATCACGCGAGTATACATCTAGTCAGCGCATAATCTCATACACGTATTTGTAAATTAAATAATTCCCCTAAGATGTGTATCTTCACGTTTGGAGCCTAGTTCTTCTTTTATTGCCAAGCACGCATGCAAGTCACTTTTGGTAATGAGTCATGGTGGGGTATAAAAACAAAATGCTAGGAAGTTAAACTTGAAGAATATATGAAATAACATTTTTATTTACTTAATTATATCTTAAATAATACGGATACCAAATGTCAAAGGACAGTAACACAAAGTGGAAGCATATAGTAAAGAATTAATTGTGCCAAGAAACATGTATTAAATCAACTTTATTATTGTTTTCCCATAGTCATATAATTAATTGGTATGAACGAACATACACTCAATAGCTAATTAATATTGGCCAAAATTTAATAGGTAATTAGCACACACATTGCATATATATTCATAAAATGCACCACCATTGTTAAAAAGTTGGCCCATCCAACTTTACTATATATATAGGCTATGAAGAGGTAAGATTTTACGTCTCCCTCTTCATGCAAAAAAGGCAGTATTTATTGAAATAAAAAAAAAAACCCTTTATTAGTATATATTACGCGATATACTTAGCTATATAATGATATAAAAATGATCTTTCATTTTCTGTTATTTGCGTGTTGATCACAATCAAGAAGTTCTTCAAGAACATGATCGTCAAGATACTCAAGTTCAAGAACTTGTCGGTTTCCTTGTTGATCGTTTCTTGCATGAACGTTACTTGAAGACGACGACGATGGCATTGATGAAGAATTGTTGTAAAAATGAGAAGAGCTTCGAGGCAAGTTATACTCCTCTGGAAAATTAAGTATGGCCAAATGTCCCCTCATGTTATAAGCTGCCTTGTCATAAGCTCGAGCAGCTTCTTCAGCAGAGCTAAATGTCCCTAGCCAAACACGAACCCCTCCTTGTCTATTAGTATCGCGAATTTCTGCTGCATATTTTCCCCATGGCCTCTTTCGAACACCTCGATATTTCACTTCGTCCATGTTTGTTTTGTTTTTACATGCAAAATAGGGTACTACAAGGTGGCTAATTTATAAAGGAATTATTATTATTATTATTTTGGGCATAATAAAGAATGGTTGAGAATGATTTGAATGGAATATCTTGAGGGGCCAAAATTTTATTAGTTTAGCCAAAAATAGAACCTTCTATGAGGACCAAAAAAGTTAATTATAATGCAGTGTATTCAATTGGTCAAATGATGGCTATAAGACTCATTCTTTTCGTCCACCTGTTTGTTTTTTTTTATTAATCTGCATGTGCCAATGGTAAAATGAATTTTTACATTATCAAATCATTTTTATCAGTAAAATTTTTTTAAAGTAATTTGATAATAACATTTTTTTAATATTATTAAATTATTTTAATTGATAGATATCTAAAGGTGGTCGTTGAATAAAAAAATTTCATTAAAGGAATTTAATATTTGAAAAAAATTTAATATTTACTATAATACCAAATAATAATTTTATTCAAAGTGTAAGTTGTCTGATAGTGGATGGTTAAAATGTATGAAGTAATTATTTTTTATAAATTGTGTTAACATTTGAAAAGGTGTACAAATAAAAATTATGATAATTTATGAATGTAGTGTTGTCTTGTGACACCACCTGGGACTTGGTATAGAAGTCAAAAATGATGTAGAAAATATTTACACTGTCAAATTATTTATATAAACTCTATTTTAATTTTGTTATATTATATGTGACATTTTTTTCTTTATAAGTATTTGGAATAAAATGATACATCTTTTTATATTTAAAATGTACTAATTAATCTTAAATCTCTCATTTTATTCTTTCACAATATAACTAGTTACAAAAAGTAGTTTTGAGTACTATATTTAATCAAATAAGTTCACATTTTATAAAGTGAATGGGGTAATTAAAGCTCAAAAGAATTTGGTTAATTAACTAATATTTTATGCAAAATTAGGGTTGATTATACATTGTATTAATGGTGAGGTCATATGCTTATGCACACACCTCTTACGTATATTATATATTTAATTTATTTTTTTACAAAAAAAAAACATTACCCTTTACCCCTACAAAAAGTAAAAATAATTTTAAGTGTTATTAGGTATATATTCATTTTTAGGTGCATATAGTAAAATAATGAACTCAAATATGGAAAGGTTCATTAATTAGAAGCATTTAAATTTTTTAGTGGGATTTTCTAAAGGAACGTGCATGGAATAGGCTAGATTAGTTAATATAAATTGTACACTAATTAATGATCTAATATTAATTAAGATTAGATTCGTTTCTATATAAGTGGAGAAGAGTGAAATAATTAATTCATAAAACTATAATGCATTATAATATTAATTAATAAAAGGCTTTTTCACTATACAAGGAATCCAATATGTTTTATTCTTTCTCTTTACATTGAACAATCTAGTTAATCTTGTTCCAGTGTATTAGCATAATTTATTAATTTTCAGAAGAAGTATGATTTACGTAAATTTAATAATTTTTATTCGGACCTGATATATATAAGAAGTAATTAATTTATTGAATATCGATAAATATATCACTATGGATCAAATTATTATTATTATTATTATTATTATTATTTATTCATTTGAAATAGTTGTGCAAAAAATAAAAAATGTCTAAATTATCTAAATTTATCATGACACTGCTCTTGCTTAAAATTTAAATTATAAGAATTAATAATCTATTAAGAACGGATTCAACATAATTTAGGAATAAGTGCACCTTTACAATTATTGCTTAGAGCTAATGACATATGATTTGTTTCGTCATATTGTTATCCTATTAACATACTATAAAACTCCAAAATATAGGAACAAAGCATAGGTAAAATCAGAATTTGAGTTTTATGTATTCTAAATTCTAAAATAATATGTTTTACAATACTAAATTAGAATATTTAATTCACCCAATCTTTTGTTGTTTTTTTAATATTATTAGATTAGACTTATTAAAAAATCTATTTATGATGACTTTATCAAACAAAATCAAAATCAAGAAGAAAAAAAAAACACTTTTCATATGTTTTTCTTTTGTGGTTAAATGAAATATCTAAATGTTTCTATTACTACTAGTTTTAGCTTTTTACAAAAAAGAAAATTCCTTAGTGGGCCGATTTGGGTCTCAGATCGATCCTTGAGAGGCCTTAAATCGATCCTTAGTGGGCTAGTCCAGCGGGCCAAATCCTTAAATCCGGCCCTCTAATCTTTTAGCGATCTTAAGTCGGTTTAATACTGGGAAAATTATTCAAAATAATTACATGTTCATATCAAAATCCATAATAATTCACGAAATACTCATTTTCTTTGGAAAAAAAAAACAGTTCATACCTTCTATTCAGTAAGGCTAATAGTTTTCATTTAATTGTTCATATATTGTATTGATATTATTAATGCTAATAACTTCGTTTAGATGATACAAAATGAGTATTTATATAATATATTGATATCACTGAGGCTTATTGCTTAAAAATTACTCATTAGTCAATGATAAGACTATATGCATATTGTTGTGATATTTTTAAGGTTTCTTGTTCCGAAATTACACATTATTCAATTTTATATATATATATACACACTAATTTAGTATCAATTAAGCAAATTTATCTGTTTTAGTGATACCAATACAGTATATGATATTGATTTAGTATTAGTTAAGCGAAATTAATTTAAATGATATATAGTATAATTATTTATTGGTGTATGAATGAAAAGGGGTATATGTTTGTAATTATTTTCTTTAATGAGATATCGGCTTAATTTCTCTAAAGAAGTAAACCCAAAGGAATTAGTTGGTCCAGAATCAAAAATATCAGCATCTCCAATGGGCTTTTTTGTTTATACATTGATCCATTCAACCACTCGTTTTATAAGCCCAAAATAAAATTCGGGATGTTAGACTTTTTTCCTTTTTTTATTTGGGGTTCGTAATTTATATCGGAGCTCGATTAATTTAAGATTCATTTGCAAAAAACATTTTCTATCAAGATTTCTTTTCATATATAGAGTTTGAAATCGAAACATCTAGTTAGTAGCGTCATCCGCTACAACACATATTTTGATGGTGTTTCAATACGTGATTTACATTTATCATTTTCTACAAAAATTATTTTGAGTTTATCCAAAAACGAAAATTAATTATAATTCTAATATTTCAATTATATATATATATATATATATATATAT